GTGTATTAAAATACCAAGACCGCCGAACAATCAGTGTGGCTACCCGTCCGTACCAATGATCTTACTGAAATACTCCCAAACGTCAGGCAAAGTTGCGCCAGCCATGATTAACAGAAGAGCTAGCATTTTAACAAGAAGATTCCGAAAATAAAAATATTAAAAGACTGTTGATTTTTATGAAAAAACAGCATTTATCCAGAATTTTCTAAAGTAAAGCTAATCCAAGCGAGAAAATATCCCTTTTTCCGGAGGAAATTAAGAGTACCAGCCTAATGGCTAATCATGTTCCCTGAATTTGAGCTACTTTACAATGCTTTTTAATATATCAGACTAAAACTCGTCAAGCAGTCCCGCAAGCAAACTCACGTACGGGAGGCATTTCAGAATTTCCAAGATCGGGTTCCAAACGGCGAGGCTGAACGGTGAAAACGGAAGAATCGGTACTCACAGGTGTCCACATACCAGAACCATATCCACCCCAGAGAACCAACGCGATTCCAATGATTTTGATCATTTTGTAAAAAACCTTTAAAATGAAAGCTTTCTTAGGCATGTATCTCAATTCCATATTAACCTTTACTTACAAGAAACAAAAAGATCCTTTTTTCTGACGAGGTTCATCTCTCTACTCGTTCTTCTCCCCCGTCCCTCCCCCTCGTTCTTCCCCATTTCTTTCGTCCTCCTCGCAGATGGAAAATACAAAAAAAACCATGATTAAATGCTCATTTTGGAGCCTTCATTAAGTTCCTCAACTTCCCCGTCTTTCTTTTCTTCTCCTTCTCAGTGCAAAAAATACCATTCCAAAATTCCTGTATTCGGAATTCTGATTTAGTTGATCTCTGTTCCTTTCTCGCCTCCACTTCCCTATCTACGCCGAAAAAGCAGCGATAATCCGGAGTTGCTATCAGTATAGTTATCAACAAAAAAAGCAGCTTTTATACCAAGTTCAGCGTGTAAACAGAAGCATTTATTTAATATATTCACTGCAGCATTTATACGCCGCAGACATAATCGCCAATGACTTTTGTACTTGCGGCACACAAATCC